TATGTGGTAGCTGCTGGTCCCCGAGGAAATAAGAGAATTTTCGCTTGTGGTGTAGGGATAGGACTTTGCATTTAGAAACATTAAATTCAATGTCGTTCACCTTAGACCATTGATAAGCTGCGTTGAGTGATTCCTGAAGTGTTTGAGAGCCCTCTGGTTCTGTTACCGTGTTCCAGATCTTGGCGTCATCTCCGAACAGTAATGTTTTTGAACCCAACACTTTCGGTAGATCATTTACGAAGGCGAATAACAGCCGGGGACCGAGTACGGACCCTTGTGGAACACCGCGGGTGGCTTCGATGGGTCCGGATACAGAATCAGAAACACGAACTGATATGATTCGTTGATCGAGGAATGCTTTGATCCACTCAAATGCGAAATCTCGAACGCCATAATTGTAGAGCTTTTGCAACAAAATTTTGTGATTCACTCGATTAAATGCTTTCGCGAAGTCGAGATAAATAACATCCACCGCATCCCCTTCGTCAACTGTACTGGTCCATTCATCTCAAACAAGAAGCAGGTTGGTGGTGCATTTTTCGAGGTATTCCATCAGATAATTGGTCACAATTGACTCCAAGACTTTCGTTAACACCGGAAGCATGGTCACAGGTCTGCAGTTAGCGAAATCACTACGACAACCACCTTTGTATATGGGCGAAATGACTCCTTGTTTCCACGATTCAGGGTCGAACATTCGTTGAAACAGAATAGCTAGCGGTTCGGATGTGTGATTTGCAAAAAAGATTAGAGATTTCGGGTGTATGTTGTCCGCACCTAAGGTTACATTTTTTCGCAAAGCCATTAGTTTTGCTTTGACGTTTTCAGCAGCAAATGATATGTAGGTTAGTGAAAGATGTGGAAGATGATGCAACCGGTGGGGTAGTTGTAAACCTTCAACCTGCGATGCTGCTAATACGTTGGAATAATGAATTTTCAGCATTTCCGCTGCTTCCTTCGGAGTGGCTGCAACTCTTCAGGCGCTAATTAGTACCGGTATGTCAAACCTTACTTTCCGAATGTAATTGACGTGTTGGTACAACAGCTTAGGGTTAGAAATGAATTTTTGTGCTAGTGCCTCTTTTTATCCTCACGAATCAGCCTGGTGCAGTGGTTCCTCAGCATACGGTAATTATTCCATGTGAAGGCTTTCGGAAGACGATTAAAATCTCGCCAGGATAAGTCCCTCACCGATAACCATTTCCTTGTGCGGCTTCGAATAGGTGAATTTCGGATGCCGGATTTGGTGATTACTCTAGTTTTGGTCACATATGTTATTCTATTTATGAGATTGTCAATAAATTTATTCCGTGTGACCAACGGATTAGCTTGCTCGTCACACACTGAGCAGAGAGCGCCAAGTTATTCAACAGTGTATAGTCTATAGATCTGCGCGTGTTACCAGAAGAAATTCCATGAAACGAAGCGTAACAGACGAAAATAACCAGACTCTTTTTAAGATAATTGTCCAAACGTTTTCTCAATCATAACTGTTTCCTTTGTAAATACAGAGCTAAGTTGGAAAAAGCTTGAAGTGCTAGATGTGCGTTGGATTGTTGGTTGCATTAACCAAACACTAATT